TCTGATTTTATTAGAATTAATTTCAATTCAATTTGTTTGGTAAAAAAATCGGTGCAATGTTAGGATAATTCATCTGCAGTTAAAGAAATGATGATTCTTTTCACTTTGTTTTAACCAAATATTCGAATCAATTTGTTTGGTAGAAAAATCGGTGTATTGGTAGGAAATATTGTTTCATTTTTAGGAAAAACTAATTATTCTTTCAATTTTTCCTAATCAAAATTTTGAATTATGTTTAAAAAAAGGCGTGAAAATACCTAAATTTTTTTACTAGAATTTTGTTTAATAAATAAGATCCCTTAATTTTTTTTATAAACTTAATTTGTTAATTAATAACTAATAATACGCAATTTTAAATAAAATTCGAACACCCATGTAGTATTTTACGTGTCAAAGAATCAAACCAATAATGTTGTACATAACAAAATGTTCAATAATACGTTAATTTTATTTTCTTGATATTTTTAATGTCATGAGACAATTTAAATACAAAAATACGTTTCAAAAAACAAGTAGGTAATAAATGTTACCCGTGCATCGCACGGGTAGTTTACTAGTCATTTAGAAAAATACAAACAAGATTTATAAAAGTACGTGAAAGAAAAATATGAAAATTTTAAATTTGAATACAACCTCATTGATATAACAAATACACTAAACCTCTTTCTTAAACAAAATACCAATCAATACAATTTGAGTAGTCTAATGAACCCTACTGCAAAACAACTACTTAAAGGTCTTCAAAACAACAAACTTGACTTGTGAATTTTCAAATGGTTCTTCTTAGGAATGCATCCACGGGACTTTTCCTCGCTCTAATGCTCATTCACAATTTATTTTCTTCACATACTCATAAAAGGAGTATGTATATCTTGTCACACCAATATCCCTGCAAAACATTAAAACACAACAAATTTTAATAGTCAAATACAATAAGCAAAAACTAATTTATTCCAGAAAAACCTCTATGTACCCTTCAAACAACTTCAATGCAACTTTGATGAAACCAGACTTAAACTCAACAACGTAAAATGTAATGAATACCACCTAGCAACATACAACCATGAAACACTCAATACAATACACGTACCAACAATAGAAAAAGTTAGTACGTGAAATTGAAAAAAAATAAAAATAATAATAAAATAAACTCTTAAACCAAAAGCCGATTGCCAAAATTTGAGTAATTAAAAAAAACATAATTTAATAACTGACTATCAAAACCTCAAAAAAAGCATGAGAACCCCATATAAAGATTCTAGTCTAATATGAAACGTGAAACGCAGGTTGGTCGAGAGGAGAAAGAACAAATCTAATTTCAATGAAAATGACCATAGGTAGCTAAATTTCATAATGACGGTGGTAAAAGAAACCCATTTGTCTTTCATAAAAGAATAAAAATTATCAATTTTATATTTCTCCCTCCCTTTCTTACATAATAAACCCAATCAATGAAAATATTTTGACATGCCCCAAAATCTCCTTATACAACAGTTTTGTCTTACCTGCCAATTTCAAGCTTGATATGATGAACTAGCAGCTGTTGGGAGATCGGAGCCGGAGTTCGTCGTCGTGGTTCATGGCCGGCAGCCTTCAGGCGGCGACGGCTCAATCGTGATGGCCCTCTGTTGGAATATCACTTGTGAGTTGTCCCACATTGATTTAATAGGGTAAATGAGCCTAGTTTATAAGTCTAGTTGACTACTCTTCCCATCACCAAATTATTTTGGGATGGAACCTCACTAAGATGCAACTAGGCTCACCCTCTTATGGTGCGCTTTACTGTGTGGGACCACATCCTTGATGTACCGATTATCAAATTTTGACATGGTATTAGAGCGGGTCTAATTGGGGACCTGCAATGATATTTTTTTTTAAAAAAAATGTACCCGGTCTGGTTGTAGGCTCGGGCTTATGATGATGATTAAATGTACCCGGCTTGGTTATAGGCTTGGGTTGATGAATGACTCACAAGTGAGGGGGGCGCGTTGGAATATCACTCGTGAGTTGTCCTATATTGATTTGATAAGGTAATTGAGCCTAGTTTATAAGCCTAGTGGACTACTCCTCCAATCACCAATTAGTTTTGGGATGAAACTTTACTAAGATGCAACTACCTTCACCCTCTTATGGCGCGCTTCACTGTGTAGGACCGCACCCCTGATGTCCATATTATCAAAATTTGACACGCTGTGGCAAACGAACCTCAACTTCGGTGGCTATCAAAAAATATGAAAAGTAATAAATACTACATGTAATAAGATTATGGTAAAACTCATAAAAAAGATATCTTAGTAAAGAATAAATATGGTTTTGATCAGAAAAGGACAAATATGTAATAAGGATGGAACAATATCTTGAATAAAATGAAGACAAATTGGTTTTGATCAGAAAAGAACAAATATATAAAAAATACCAACATGAATGATGAGGAGAGAAGCAAAAGAAAAAAAAAATGATGCATAAGAAAGAGAGGAAGAATTATGAACATACACAACTTTTTATAAAAGATATGTCAAAAGATTTGAAAAAATAAAATGAAGCAATAACTTCTCTGTGTGAACCGTCATTTTACAATCGAAATCGACGTGAGTAAGAGCATCTTCAATAGTATCTTATCCATTTTAGATTGCATGGCATGAAGAAAGGAGATTAAGAAATTGTATCTCTAATGGTTAATGTTAAAGATAGTTTAATTTGACATATGTAAAATTATAATTGGTTGAAAAAAAAAAAAGAAATAAATTAAATAAATAATATAATATGTAATAATAAAAAGAAGTAAAAGACGCCATTTTCTCATATTAAATTGGTAGAAAGCAACATAGTATTGACATGTCATATTATAAAAATAAAACACAAATAAAAATGTAGCTTTTCATAATTTCATAATATTAGAATTGGACTCAACGGATAGCAGAATTGTTCATAGTATAAGTATGCAATTTTATAGGAGAGTATAATTAAGATTAGACAATTGTCTATAGTGTAAGTATGCAACTAGTGTATACCCCGTGCGATGCACGGAAACAATATTAAATTAATAATATTATAAATAGATCTCGAGTTTGAGTCACTCAATGACGGAAGTGGAAACTACTATTGTTCCTATTTAAAAAGAGGAAGCAAAATAAATAATTATAAATTAAAGAGGAGGATAAACAATACTTAATAATTATAAATTAAAGATTCGGGGTCAAACAATGTAAAATTATTTTGTATAAGAGAATATAAAAAAATTTGATTACACACCATTTCAAAATTATTATTATACTTTTTTGTATGGTTAGCTTATAATATTTGTAAAAATATTAGTAATTAGACCGATGAAAATTAGCTTCTTAAAGTAGATAATGGATTTCCAGTAGTAATTATGAATTAGTTTCTATTTTATTTTATTTTTTCTTTTTAAAAATAATGGATTTATAGTAGTAATTATGAATTGGTTTCTATTTTATTTTATTTTTTTAAATCTGTATAGATAAGAGATGAGATTTTTTAAACACGTGAGATCGTATGCAATTGGATTTTGTAACAGAAGAGATAAGCGTGTAGATTTATACTAAAAATAGGGAAAAGAAAAACAAATATTTATTGTCAAACAACGGTTTTGATAAACTAAAAAAAATGAGCCGATTTTTTTGCCTATTCAGATTTGTTCAACAATTACTATATTAGGATATATTTAATAATTTTGGCGGTAAAAAGTTTCTAAATTTGTAAAAAGGTTATTCTTTTTATATAATGATAGATTTTACAAGTATGATTGCCTCACTGTTAGACATATGTTCACATTATAATTATGCAATTTTATAAGAAAGTATCTATATATATAATTGTTGGCTAAACATTAAATAAAATATATTTAATTGTACATACGTGGCACTTTCTCACCAAAAACAGTTACTAACCAACATTAATTATTTTTTACACTAATTACATAATTTGGACACTAATTAGATCAGAATAGTTTTATTTTGCGAAAATCAGGATATCTGATTTTTAAGGAATGCTGACCAAACATCTTGAAAATTTTAATTATCAGAATCATTTTAATTGACTTTAGTGGTATAATCAAACATCTTAAAATTTCATAAATAATAATAATAATAATAATAATAATAATAATAATAATACTTTTTAAGATAATTAATAGATTAGGATCTCTCAAATTTATGAAAACTACATTATCCATTTTATTTTATGCAGTCAATATCGTATGAAGTTGAATACTTTTATAATGTTCACTTTTACTAATGACAAAATTTTTAAAATGTGATACTATTATTTAACTTACAATTTTAATATTATATACATACATATAACTTATAATAACTTAAATATTTGTGTATGTGCACAAGATGGAATACTAGTGATTATCTAACATTTGTCAATATAATAAAATGCATTTATGTGTTGAGCAATTAATCTTCGATATTTATATAACAAAATAAATAATAAATAGAACGTGAAAGTGAGAGGAAATTAATGCATCTTTGACTGTTGCTTTCATATTGTGATGTCCCATAAAAAAAAAACATACATGACCTCTACTGAAATTTATAAACAGAGTTTGAATACCAGTATACCACATGTGCCCCATAAACATAAAAACTTCACTGCATTCAATATCCATCACAGCAACCTCTGTTTATAATATATGGACTAGAAAACAGTACAAGGCCACCATATTAACTACAAAATGAATTCAATGAAATGTCTCTTGCAGCAAGAGATGATTTCATGAGAAGATACTTACAAAAACTCAGTCTTCAATTTTATGATATATAATTACTTCACCCAAAAAGAACTCTAGTTTCATTCAATCAACTCCCACAATAATGTAACCATCAGCTCCAAGAATTTCTCCAAAAGCATTAACAAAAGAACACGAATCAACTCCCAAAAAGAAAAAAAAAGAAAAAAAAAACCGAAAGGCTCTATAAGCCGAGAAAGCTTCTTCTTCTTCTTCTTATTATTATTTTACCAACACCAAAATTTCATTTGCACTCGACGCCAACTTCAGCAGCACGCCTAGGTTTGCTTTTCCTCCGACTTCCATTTTGTCTATAGCCAACGTTTTTATTCAAGGCACTCCCATTTTCCTCTCGTACGGCTAAATCTTGATCATCTTCTTGTAGAGGCCTTTTCCTCTTCTTGCCATTCTCAATGAAGGCACCATTTTTACCGTTTTTACCAGCATCCGAGCCTTTTTCATTTTCACCATTTTCGTATCCTACTTCTTCTCCTCCTCCTATCTTTTCAAATTCATCATCATCCTCGAGTTCGTCTTTCATCGCTTTCAGTGGCCTTCCCCTTCTTTTCATAGGCAACTTCTCATCCTCAAAGCTTGCACTATCTTCACGAGCAATGGGAGATTGTTTTTTCCCTTTTCCTCTCCCTCTACCCATAATTTTCAATACAACTCGAGCAAAACAATAATAACAAATTTCTCTGCATACAAAAACACAATTAAACAAGTGTTAGAGAATAGAGACTAGAGAGTACCCGTTATCAAGTTTAATTTTGACAAAAAATCTAAAATTAAATAAATCTAATCAGTAATTACAACAGAGAGTAGCCATTACAAAGTTTAATTTTGGATAAGGTAAAAGGCAAAATAATACAGCCAACCATCTAAATTGCACCAAGAACACAAAGTTAAAATTATATAAAAGATATAGTTTAAATTCACTTACCCTTCTGAACATATGTAAAGAAGAGACTCAGTAAACACACAAGAAATCCAACTTCAGGTATATTACATAACTAAGAACCTCCACTAAAAAGCTTCTTCTCATAAAAGTAAAGCAAAAAATCAAGTGTCCTAAAGAAAACAAGCACACAAGAATTCCGTGTACAAACAATGAAACTATGATTGAACTATTATCTTTTATTACAACAAAGGGGGAAAAAAAGATAGCAAAAGAAAGCTGAGTTACATACCAGATGGAGCTAACTTGGTAAGAAGCAAAACCAGTCTGCAACCTAAATCAAAGCAACCATTTTTCTCAAGAAAAACAAACCAACCAACCAATCAAGAAACCAATAATAACTTGGTAATTAGATTAAAACACCTAACAAACATGATAATTTCAATATCAATGCTAATATAAAATAAAAAAGGTGAAGTCTTGGTGTACTGTGAGTGAGAAACTGGTGAAAAATGGATCTGAGACGATGAAAAAATGGCGGCCCAGATTACAAAACCGTCGGGAAATGGATTATCGTTGCAGAAAATGAACTCAGATTTGAAAAGATTTGATCCTTTTCATCATTTCAAGCCAATGGTGGCAGACTCTGCTAGAAGAGAGAATAAGAAAGTTATAGAGTAGGGGGAAAAATGATGTGTTTAGTTGAATGGGGATTGGAGAAAGGATATAATAATAGTTTATTAATTTTTATGGGGTGCTTGGGAAATTATGGTAAAGTGTAAAAGAAGGTAAACAAAACTACTAATTAATTATTAAATAGTAATTACTAAATACAAGGGGATAACTTGAAAGGCCACCGTGTTTTCACAAGAACTTGTGATGTTAAAATAGCATAGTATACCAAACCATTTGGTTGTCTAACAAAAATCTTACCGCCTTTCTTTTACTACAATTTAGACACGGTCAAACTGGTTTATCTATTACAACTTTACAAGTTCTTTTTGCTTTGATAATTTCATATAATATATTGTTTTACTGTGTCACTTAAACAGAAAATTGTTGGTTGCTTAGGATGTAAAGCTTATCTAGCTTTGTTTTCTAGATTTACTTTGGGTTTTAATACCAAACCACGCGTTATCTTCTTGCTGGTGATGCGATGAAACCCATTATGAGAAGCACAGCTGACAGTCATATTCCTTGCTTGGCTGTTGATTTTCGACCTTCATAAAGAGCTTTTTTTATTTTAAAACAATAATTTGAAATCCAAGAGTGCGAACGACAGAAATTAGCCCAACTGGCAATTGCTTTGTTGGGCAGTCTCAATCTTATTTTACTGGAAAGGTAGGGACCACATGTCAAGCAGCCGGGCCTCCACATCTTATGATTGGACCCTGTCAAAAAGGCTTATATACACAATATCGTTTCGTTTGGCCTATATTGCCACTTGGGCCTACACAACAATGGACTTCGAATCAATCTTGAATCGCACGGCCCATCAATTTATTAAACATAGCCTGTTGCAAAAAGGCTCCATCTTGAGGAGAGAGCTATTGCTCCCCTTTTGCTCTGTCATCGTTGCATCTTAAGCAATCACGAAAACTATTAAATCGATCCACAATTGGTTAGATAATACACCAACCCTCATAAAACAAAATACATATGCAACCGAGAAAACAAAAAATAGAGAAAAATTCGGTGACTGATAGGATTATAAAACGAGCATGGAAAGTCGAAAGAGTGCTTCACTAATTGATATCCCCATTGCCGGTTAACTGAAACGCGTAACACATTGTTTCATACTCGACTCGAATAACTCTTTGCTGGAGATCCTACATACATCAACAGGATGAAGATCACCGATAAGACGGGAGGCATTTTCGAACAAATTAAAAGATTAGCATACACAATTACCCAAAAAAAANGGATGTCTTTCTTTTCTTCTAAATTTCATAAGATGATTGAATGCTTTTATTATTAAGACAGGGCTCGACTAGAATAACCATACTAGTTAGTGTAGATGCACATACCATGATAATCGAGGTTCGAGTAGTTATTGCTTGGGATAGTAATAAGGGTATCCGCCAAAGGCTGCTTGTGGGGATGGCGTGTCTTTGTTAGCACCATATTGGGGATAGGGATATTGAGGTGGGCCTGAGTAAGGATTAGCTGCAGTTGACGGACTTGAATACGAGCCAGGGTAATTGGCCATCGACTGAGGATAATTATAACCGAGAGAACCTCCAACACCCGTTTGTTGATATCCAGCTGACATTTGTAGAGGCATTTGAACCACGGGCCCAGTTAGTTGGGATTGGCCACCGACCCTTGGTTTGTTATTATCAGCAAGCTTCACCGTTATATTTCTTCCCTGCCATGGTTGAAAGCAAGCATATTCAACAAACATCCCCCCCTTTAATATGGAACTGACCTTGTCATGATGTAAACTGTAAAGGGCTTATACTTTTCCTTGGCAGACAAAATTACCTCGAGATATCGCGCAACTTGTAATGAAAAGGTAAAATAATGAGTTTGTCATCTTTAAAATGTAAGTTTATAGCAAACACCCTATTCAGTTTCCCATGGTTTAGTTTAGCAAATAAACTTGTTGAAGTTGCAAGTTGTGGAATGTAACATTTACTTTCGGAAGATAGTTAATCTCTTTTCTGAAGTAGTCTTGGTTAGAAAATCATTCTGTTGAAGTGAGGGAAGAAAACGAAAGGAATTTTCTTACTCCAAGCATCTTTTGAGGGTCATCAATTGCTCTTTTTGCAGCCTCGACAGTGCTGTAAGTGACAAATCCAAAGCCACTTCAAAGCAAACAATATTTATCAGATCAGTCAAAAAAAGAATTCTGATTTTAATTAGAAAAAGAAAAAAGAACAAGAAAAATGGTGTCCCTATTTACCGAGATCTGTTAGATTCCTTGTCATACGCAACAGAACCCTCCTCAATCTCTCCATGTCGTCCAAAATACGCAAGCAACATCTCGCTGGTTGTCTCAGGTGATAAACCTCCAATGTACAGCTTTCTTTGCGCTTGATCTGGTGCAATGCTGGTGTTGCTTAACCCCTCACTTGCAAGATTACATACAGCCATTCGGCCCTACAGCAAAAAAATAAAAATAAAAATAAAAATAAAAAATAGAGAATCATATGGTTACACTTAGCATTTTCTTTCATTAGTTTTTCTTATACTCAGAACTGCTTGTTTCTTAATTGAAAACCAGATTTTACTCACATCAATCATCTTGCTGGGTGCCCTGAGAGCTAGCTGAGCTGACCCCATATCTTTGTAGGTAATGAAACCATAACCACGTGACTTTCCCGTGACCTTGTCATAGATTACAGCACCCTCCTCAATTTCACCATGCTCTTGAAATGCCTGCATCCACTCATCAAAGATAATAAAAGTTACACATGAGCAACCTACCATTTACCAAGTATGACACGGGACAACAAAGCTGGGGAATTAAAAGAACAGCTCATCGAAGCTTTTCTTGTATCATTTTTTCATTCACCAAGAGAACACAAAAACACAGTCCGCAAGCAGCAAAACCACTCACAGCACACAAAGTTTCTGAAGTGGTATTCCAAGCTAAACCACGAACAAAAAGCTTTCGAAGGGCAGGGTCAGCACTCGCAACACTTTTAATTTCTTCGGCAATAGAAGGGTATTGGGACCCTCTTCACGGGAGAACATGCAAACAAGCACACGCATACAATGTCAATCCACGCAGCACACAAACCAGACTATTCCTTTCAAGAAGCATCTACTTCACACACCAAAAACCATTATGAATGAACACATTTCATGAGTAGAAACAAACAGGAACACAAATCTAAAGTTCCGGCAAAAAGGTTCTAAATTAGTAAACAAACTTCCAAAAGCACTGCAGATTAGTCTTGTGAAGTTAGAGGCGTCATTTCTTAGCTACAACATATAATCACTATTAAAACTAGAAATCGAGGTGAACCCATCACTATTACGATAAACCTATGAGCCAAGTTCCATATGCTCTTGAAATTCCTGCGAATTCTTCAACACAAATTAAACTACTATCCGCAAGATGCAAACGGGATACACTACCAACACCTACGCATAGTGCACGTGTATATTCACAAATACCGAAAAGAAAAATGTCAGAACATCAAATTTCATCCATTATCAACACCTCAAACACAATGCACCCAAAAATAAGGATTCTAATTCTACCAAACAATAAAGTCAACTGGCAACCACCCATATTTTCACACACAAAATGCAAGCCACGTGACCCCAAAATAGGCATACGAGTAAAAAGCTATTTCAATCACTTCCCATTACAAATTCAACAAATTAAATACCTCTGCGCATAAGACAAAAATCACAACCCAAAAAAAAAAAAAAAAGCTAGAGACAGAGAGTTACGCTCTAGCAAGGATGTCAACAAGCTGCGGCTTAGAGAGCGGGTCGAGCAGGGCTCGCAAATCCTCGATGGACGCCGTCGTATCAGTCAGATTAGGCAGCGGCTGGCCGTTTCCCATTCGCTCAAGCTTTCTCTTTTTCACGTCCTCCATTGTCAAAGCACACTCTCCGATTTCTTATCGAACACTCACAGTTTTTCGGAGGGAAAAATTTTCAGCTGTTCGAAGTGTTCTTGTGTGCGCCGAGTGAAACCCTTTCCATGACCGGAAAATATATCTCAATTTTATTTTAGAGGTAAAATGCAAAAGTGTATAATATATGACGTAATAATGTTTTGATGCCAAAAAAAGGGCCAGTTTCATCTGAATTTTGAGGTCCATTGGGAAGTTTGAGGCGATAGGCCCAATATGCTGACTCCATCTAAGGCCCAAAAACTTTATAAGAAAGCCTGTGAACAATCTATTATGGATCTTCACTTAAAATGGTTAATTGAACAGGCCCAAAATGTCGTGAGGCGGAACTCCGTCTCGCCGGAGTTCAGTGTTCTGCATATTCTCTCTCTAAAGTCTAAACTTCGTCGTTCAACTCTCTCTCTCTGTTACATTTGTGAGGAGCAAAAGCAGGAAGGAGCTGAAGAAAATTGCTGTACGCATCGCACGACGTGATTTCAATTGGTTTGGAATCGACATTCTATGGAATATGGCGTTATAGATAACAGCGGTGAGTATATTTCACATTTCAACGGTTACTTCAACTTCCACGAGGATGTTACAGCGATATATTTGCTTTTTATTCATCTCATATTATCATTGTGTTATTCCTTTTGTTGAATGCATTGTCTTGGGTACGGCTGCGGATGTTTTTTCAGTTTTGGATTCTTAAGATGGATTCTAAAGGCTTCTTATTGTTCTTTGTTTTGTATTGTAAGCTATATCAAGTGGATTTCATGGTTTTGTTGGTGCTGTTAGGCGTGATCGAGAAATTGGATTTCACATGTTTGCGGGCTAGGGTTCTGGTGATGTAAGATATTTTCTGTCGTGAAGTTCGAAATTGAATCGATTTTTTCTGTTTGGTTTTATATGAGTTGATATTTTTTGAAACGAATTAGTTCGTAATTCACCTTTAATTGCTTTGAGTTTGAGTCAAATGATGATGAAATGGATTACATAGGGATACCTTGACATCGATCCTATGTACAGCAAAAGAAATTATTCAGGTTGAATAGTTTTTGGCTGAATATACTTGACTCTTGAGTGAGGCCAATTTATTACCCTTGGTTGAATATGTTTAGCTAGGACACCAATTGGACTTCAATTGGGATAGCATTGCAGCAGCCCAGCTACCTAATTAGTTCAATTATGATTCTCGCCATGCTGTTTTTTCTTTCTTTCTAAATCAATGGGCATGGTTTGTTTAATCATTAGCTATACTAGGAAAGTGCTTATTCAAGGTTCTGTTTACTTTCTGAATCGTTAGACGCATATTTTGCTAATCGAAATAAGGGCAGTTACTGATGATGATAATGCCCAACCAGTATACACTAGAGTCCCATTAGGAAGTCGTGTGGCGGGAAACGGAAGATCATTTATAGCCGCAGCCTCATATCAAATGATGCAAATCGATATGGAATCCGAAATCCACAATCTGGAGCAGATAGCATACGGCGCAGTTCTCCGGGCTTTCAAGGCGCAATCGAATGCGCTCACATGGGTATATCACGTCTTGATTTGTTTCTTATTCTCTGGAGTCTTGCATTCTGAAGTTTGACAAAATACATATGGTTAATACCCAGGAGAAAGAAGGTCTGATAACAGAACTGAGGAAGGAACTAAGAGTCTCAGACGATGAGCATCGTGAACTACTTACCGAGGTCAATGCTGATGACCTCATTCGCAGGATAAGGGAGTGGAGAGAGGCAGGAGGGAGCCACAATGTGGGCCCCAACGGTGCTAACAATCAGTTACAGAGCCCAACAGTTTCTGCATCTCGCAAAAGACCGAAGGCATCCCTATCAGGAAATCCATTTGGCGCACAGTCTCAGACGGTGACTGGTACCACACTTCCATTAGCTTCAGCTTCTTAATGGGGGCATAATTCAGGGATTGGTGGGCGAAGGACTAATGCTGTATGTTCAAGTTATAATAATAATAATAAAGATTAGAAAGATGGTTCTGAAATTTAGCTCTATGATTAATTCATCTATTTTCATGTTGTTTTATAGGGTCAGCCCGCAATTGCCCCAGCAAAACCTGTGCAACATCAGTTCATAGATCATATTTCTTCTGGGGTTCCTGTGGATGACCTTTCTGAAAGTGTGCGTGACTCATTAGTTGGCCGGAGGGTGATGATAAGATGGCCTGCAGACAATAACTTCTATGAGGCTCTAATAACTGAATACAATCCAGTGGATGTATGTTCGTTCCTTTTTTTGTGTTATATAGTCGGTTTTCTAGTAGGAGATTTGGGTAGCCCTCTAAAAGTTTTTTTAGTAGGATGTTTTATGCCACTATGGACGGTAACATGTAAAGGCTAATTTATGGTATATTACTCGAGAATCAAGAAAGTGAACAAAGAAACACTGACAAGTTTGATATCACCATTTCTTAATGTCAAAAGGATTATCATATATGTATATATCAAATTCCTACACATGCATGATCTAATTTTTGCCGGTTTTATTTCATATGCAGGGCTGCCATTCTTTGGTTTATGATAGCAATACTCCTAATGCAACATTGGAATGGGTTAATATCAAAGAGGTAGGTATCCTTAAATTCAGATTGCCAAAATATTTCCTGAGCAATAATTTTAGTCTAGCTTTTTGAAGCTTGTCGTCAACTCTCTTAAATATGTGTACTCTATGAATTTCCGGATCTGTGTAAGGTGTACAAGAAAGATACTTTTTATATTGATACATTTTCAAATGAATTAACTGCCAGAAAGCATTATTTGACGCGTGTGCATATCGGATTAAACATAATCTTATCTCCTTGACTTTGCAAAGTCAGTTTCTTTTAATTAATAGGGTGGTTGAATGATGGCAAGGTTAAGATATTAGCAGAAGCTTTGGGTGATAGTTTGAGGCTGGCGCTGCTTATTTGATTGATTTGTGTGGGTTATTGTATAATTGTGTTTACGGTAATTTTTCTTACCTCTGGTCATACATCTCAATCATTTTTTGTCTTATTTTTACTAACTTATTGCAGGTTCCACCGGAGGATATCCGGTGGGTGGGTGATGATCCTGTAACATTCCAGTTGGGTGAGATGGGTGGACCTAACTCTGGAAGAAGGAGATTGTCCTCAATGAACCCATTTGCCAAAGAAATCAGGCTTCCAGTGAATGAAGTTATAAGGGACGATTATGAGGAAATTGAAATATTGCATACTGACACCTTGATTAAGAAGGTGCTTGTACAAGAAAACCTTGCTGTTATATATTTGGAATATATGCATATTTGCTTTCGGTTATCATTTTCTTCTGGTTTGATAGGTAGAGAAGGTGCTTGATGCAACCCATCCTGATCTAGCAGAGATTCACAAGGCTAAGAAGATGCTAAAGGTTGTCGCTGTTTTGAATATTAATTAAGTTTATTGTCTTAACCTTTTCCTCTAGTAATACTGTAACAATTGGCGATGCAGGAACACGAACAAACACTGATTCAAGTGATCGAGAAGCTTGCGGCTGTATGTGACAGTGGTAATGAGTTTATCCTGAAATCCGATTTGTGTATCGTCTATTTTGAGTATTAATGTTTCATTTATTACTGTTCAAATAATTTTGCCAACAACTCTGAGTACCTCAGGGTTCTTTTCTATTCTAATGTGTGCCGCTATCTATTCTTCAAGTTTTATTAATGCAGAAATATTGTCCTTCACCATTGAAAAAAAATCATAAAAATTTATTATAACAAATTGTCATTTTTATAATATATGGTGCTGATGCATTCTTGTGTTTCAAGTGATTTGTATACTTACATAATCTGATGGTTTCATCCTCTCCTTAATCTGCTGAATCTCGGTGTCAACAATAAGTATCTGCAAGCTTATATTTTGGACTTTGACTTATCCAGACACTTGCAAAACATTTTCTTTTAGTTTCATAGCTGTTACATATTGGTCTAATACTGTCTGATTTATTTGCTGCATTTTTCTTATTCCTGCATCAGATGATGATCGTCCATCGGAGCAAGGACTCTCTGGTGGCCAGATCACCTTATCTTCATTATCGTGATCCAGGCCATGAGCCTGGCATTGATTTGACTAAAAGTCGAAATCTGCAGATTTTTCACCAAATGTGTTATTGTTGTCAATAGAGATTTTTCGAAGATGATACTGTGAGTAGCGATGTCTGATGCTTCATTGAGATTTTTAGGGCATTAAGGGCGTGCTTGGATACAAATATATCTGCTCAAAACAAGTTTTTTTTGTTAATCATTATTAATTATGAATAAAGTGGTATGATTAGGTTTTAGTGAAATTTTGAATTAATATTAAAATAATATTTACATACAAAATTAAAGTTGATTTAATGTAAAAGTATAAGAGAGATGATGTGGAGTTATGGTTGTTTAAAATTATATGAATGGATGAGTAATGAATTAAAATTGATGTGAAGTGTAGAATGATAGATTGATATTATGTAACTATAATGATAATATTGAGGATAGTAGGGTTGAATTAAAGTTGGGTTACATCTTGAATATGAATTGAGTATGGATTGAGTTTTTTTAATAAAGAAAGACACCCTAAATCCATTTGCTATGGTCCCATATATTTAAACAGTTGTGTACTGAGATTCAGTTTTGGTTGTAGTAAACTACATTCATCTAGTATATTACTAAGCATAAATAGTTAAATACACACTCATGTAGGTGTGTAATCCACTCTACAAAAATAAGTGAGAGCATTAGGAAAGAATTATCCTAACAAGAGATGCTCAAGTTTTTTTTGAAAAAAGAAAAACAAGTTCTCCAAATTATGGTATAATAAATAAAACTCTGTAATCTATATATATATAATAAGAATTAACATTTATCAAAATTAGTAAGTCAATTTATGGTCAAAGTCTGGTTTGCATTAATTATTTTTCAAAAACGGCAAGTTTTATGTCTTTTTCACACGCCTCATTAATTGCACCGAATTAATTATCATAAAATCATTCCATATGAACTGTTTTTGTTACACGCCATTGCATTAATTTCGGCCTAATAAATAGCGAGCATTAACTGCAACAGATAATATGTAATAAATCTTTCTTTCACGCCATTGCATTAATTTTTTCACAATTTGGACTCAACTTTTCCCCTTTTTTGTGGAGTAATTTATTTCATTGTATATGATTGATGCAAATACTTTTTTATGGAATCCAAATCCGTACAATACACTAATATCCGTACAATACACGTAGTATCTGTTGTAAATCTGCCGAAAATAATTTAATATATACTGGTATAAATCTATTGAAAATAATTAAATATATATTGGTATAAATCTTCCAAAAATTAATTAAAATTAATTTAGGCCATCCCATTTACTAGAATTAGTAGGAAGAAAAGTCAAAGGTAATTAATGCATTCTATTTCTATCAATTAATTTTTATTTAATTGTTTTTTCCCATAAAATCGGTATAAAAAAATGTACGTAAAACAAAAAAAAAAGACAGATTTGATCGGATGATAAAATCATGATTTTATCAAAAATAAATCAGATGTCAAACCTAAATTGAAGGGTTTGGTTGTCTATATAGATATTGAAATGTAAATCAATACATTTAATATTTATAGTTTGTGTGGATTTAAAATTCCTTTTTATCTTTGTACAAAAAAACTTATCTAATTGTATGAAAAATATGATCTGATTTGTTCCTCTACATATAATGTAATTTCCGTATATCAAGATTTTTTCTTAAAAATCTTAACAGATATTGATTATACTCTACTAATTATAAATTATAAATCTCAAAATATTGAGTCATCGTCTTCCTCATTTTCAACCTCCTGCGAAAAAAATATCTCCAATCAGTCTTTCATTCAAAACAATGAATCAAGGATTTTGCTTAATCAAACAATTTAATAGGTCTAATAGACCTATGCTTAAAGTTTTAATTGTAAGAATGTTTTTACAAGACTGGGGCAACACGTACAAATCCTATCTCGAGTTGGTTCTGCACGATAAAACTGTAAGACAAATTATTTTTACTTCTTTTTTTTTGTTTTTTTATTTCGAAATATGAAGCGTAGATTTTTTATTTATTTTATTTTATTTTTAAATTTAGAATTTGCCTTATTTCTTCTAGAGATCGTGTATATATTTAGATATTTACATTATTTATGTTTTTTAAACAAATTAATTTTTTATGATTGCTTTTTTGTACATGTTTAGTTTGTGATAATGACGAGTTGTCCAATAATCAAACTCATAATGTTGTGTACAAGGAGGTCTTTAATAATATATGATTGTTTCTTTGTCAAATACTATCTTATTGTACAATTTCCTACGTATCATAAAATTTTTATTTAATATTGCATCTTATAATATAATATTCCCCAAATAAATATATCCCGTGTCTCGTACGGGTCACGTACTTTATATATCTCATACATTTTTCTTTATTCATGTATATAATTATAAGTCTGGATAAATAGCCTTAAAATTGTGCACCTCGCACGGGCTCTACACTAGTTTCACCATATCAGAATTTGTCAATTGACCAAAACCAACCCCATCTGCACTATTTAATACGACCTTTCACTTTTTCTCAAGCTCCACTAGTCTTCTAAATACACTCACTTTAACAAAAACTGTGAGTTCAAAAACAGAACTTCTGTCCATCAGAGATCTAAAACCATTTTTTTTAAACACCCAAACTAAGGATGATAAAAAAAAAATAGTAATAAAACAGAAGAAAAACTAAACCCTAACCTGCTATAAATAGAAAAATGAATCCATACACTAGGTACAAAACTACATTCCTAAACTCCCTCCAAAATCCTTCTATATCTTCCTTATCCTTTTCTTCTGCTCGTTCTCAATCTTCTCCCTTCCCCTCTTCCCGGCCGCCGCCGCCGGTGGTGCCGCTACTACTGCCGCCCTTTTCGGCGGGCGGCCCACATTCCTCTTCCCGGGGATCCCTTTCTCCTTCGCCAGCCTTTCCTCCGCCGTGCTCCTCCTCGTGACCTGCACTTTCTTCTCCCCACCTTTGCCGCTCCCCTCGCCGGAGGTCAGCGGCGTGTTCTTCAGGGCATCGAGCAGGTCGCCGGAGTTGGACCCTTTATTCATCCGGTTCAAGAAATTTGTAGCCCCTCGTTTTTTCGAGTCCGATTTCGTGTTGCTACTATTGCTGTTGGATTGATTCGTATTATCACTATTGTTGTTGTTCTTGCTGTTTCTCCTCGTGTTGGCTGGTGTGGTTGCGGACGAGAACCGGTTGTCCATTGTCCGTTTTCTCGTGTAATCCTTTTCATCTGCGACCGAGCTTCGTTGGCGACACATCTTTAAGGAGCCAGATAGCCTTGTTTTTAGCTTCGAGGGATTTGAAGGGTCGGTTGATTCGACATTCTTGGACAAGTTTTGGAGTGAGATTTGTTTCCCGGATTCCGGCTTGGGGGTCTCCCGGGAGATCTCCTTGGCGACGAGGGCACGGATTTCGAGTGCTGCATTGGATTCAAGGGAGTTGTTGGGGAAGAAGACGATGGCGTTGTTGACGAGCAGTAGAATGTCACGGAAGAACTCGGCCCGTGAGCCCGAGTAAAATCCTCGTCTCAGCTTCGTCTCGACTGTCTCCAGGTCCATATGCTGAAGGATTAGCTTCTGGTATTTTGAGGTTTCCTGCACAGAAGAATAAATCCAAAAATTTGTATTTTGAATTTCTAATCAATAAATAAATAATTTTCACCACCTTTTTAAATTTTAATTCAAATAATAATAAGTTAGATTAATAATAATCATCACCTGGCTACGGAGCCGACGCTGGAAGATGGAGCCGAGATTGTGAGCCAGGACGGATTGAATAAAGTCAACCAGCGGCTGCGATTGAGCAGACAATTTGTGATCCTCATGTTCGCGCCCATCGCTTCCCGTGCTCCCGCGCTGCACAGTATCACCACCTCCCTCCTTCCTCGATCTGCTAGCCGTGCTCTGCACATCCGAGCTCTCCTTCGCAGCCTCCCCTCCGCCGCCGGACTCCGCCGAGTCAGTCGCCGGTTCCTCCTTCGCCCTCCGATCGGACTTCTCGATGCTGTTCGAGCTTCCGTTGCAGGAGTCCGCCCGGCCAGATTTTCGATCCGGTTCGGGTGTCAACTCGGCCGGCTCCTGGTCGGCCTGATCCCGCCCTACCTCATCAACTCCAGTTCCGGCCGGTTCAGATTCTTTCTCGCCGGTTTTTGACTTCTCCGCCGCGGGATCTGTCGAGTTCGACTCGTTCACCGACAGCCGATCCTTGTCTATTCCTTCTCCGCCGCCGCCCGCCGACTCCCTAATCCAACGTCCAGATCTCAACTCGATTTATTATCTAAACATCACGAAACAGTACTCGATGTTGAGATCGTAGCGCTCCACCTCCCGCCGGAGCTCCGCCACCCTCAATTTCCTCAGCTCCTCCAGCAGAGGCGCGGCGGACTCGTCGCCGCCCGATTTACCATCGCCGCCGCCGGCGGTGGCATCCGAATCTCGATTGGGGGCGACGACGAAGCGGCGTTTGAGGTCGAGGTACTTGGACCGGCAGATGTTCGGGGTGTAGGAGAGGTTGGGTTCGGAGGTCCGCTTCCGGAGCTCGGACGCGATGGAGTCCCAAGAGGCGGTGCCGTGGCGGTTGACGGCGAAGGCGAGGATGAGCTCCTCCCAGGTGCCCCAGGAAGGGGTTGGCGCGTCATCGACCTTCGCCGCCAGCGCGTCGCCTTGCGGTTTGTTCATGAACATTGAACGGTGCGTACAGTCTCTAAATTAATTCAGATTTGTTCTTTTGGCGTGTTATAAGTTGCGACTTAAAAATCCTTTTTAGTGGTACTGGTACGGTGAGATGGTTCTGCTCTAGGGTTCGTATTATTGATTGTATGTTGTGTTGTTCATTTTTGTTCTCAAATTCGGACTTTATATGCTTCCCTTTATTTATATTTTATACTATC